TGAATCTATGAATCTATGAATCTATTCACTGCCTCTGGTGACAGGATTGCCAAGGCTAAATCTAAGCTAAAGAAACAGCTGCAGACAGAGGTGTCAGCTAGACATCCTTCCTAAGAAGTCCCCTGCACAGTCACTGACGATTCTGCTGTACACTTGCCAGCACGTGGTATCCTCAAGGGCTTTGTGACAAATTTCAGAATCTACACTGAACACGAGCTAGCAGCAGATGATGTATACCTTGTCTCGGACAGGTGCAAATCCTTCAGCACAATGGACTGGTCTACACTGGGGTGGGGGGGAGGATCGATCCAAGATACGCAACTTCAGCTACGTGAATAGCGTAGCTGAAGTCGAAGTATCTTGGATCGAATTACCTTGGGTCCACACGGCGCGGGATCGAGGGCCGCGGCTCCCCCGTCGACTGCGCTACCACCGCTCGTTCTGGTGGAGTTCCGGAGTCGACGTTGAGCGCGTTCAGGGATCGATATATCGCGTCTTAACGAGACGCGATATATCGATCCCAGATAAATCGATTGCTACCCGCCAATACGGCGGGTAGTGAAGACGTACCCAACGAGTGTCACAAAATCAAGCAGACCTACGGGAGCAAGCAGAGTGCATCATTTAAGGACAAATGCATCAATACCGCCACAGAAAGTTGTCTCGACAGTTAATGAAAATAAGAAAGAGTTTTATTGGCATCATTTGTGCAGAATTATTAAAGACAGAAAAAATACCTGAGCTGAAATAAACCAGGGGGGTGGTGTCAACAGAGGAGATATGGCCATCTCACATGAGGCAGCAAAGAACGTCCTCAGACATCAAACAGTGATGAGAGCAAAAGAGGAAGTGGTGGAAAAGTCGGTATTATCAGATGACATTGACGTATTTCTCTTACTTTTGCATCATTACCGTGAACAGAGCCTAACATATTTAGTGATTATGGAACCCAGAGTCCAAGAGAGAGCTGTAATAGACATCTGTGCTCTGCAGAGCAACATGATACCGGGGCTGTTCGCTGTCCGTGCGCTCTCAGGCGGTGATACAGTAGCTTCCTATTTTGGCCCCATCAGAATTACTCTGTTGAAAATTCTGCAAGCTGGGTACTCCCTCTCTCTGCTGGGTGACATCGATGACACTGAACAGGCACCCAAATTCCTGGCTGCATGCTACAGACAATCAAACTGTGCCTCCATGTTGAGAAACATGGCAGAAATCATGGGCATATCAAAACCAAAGCTCAGCTCTTCCCACCACCAAGGGAAGCACTTATAGGAAATGTCAAACACGCACCTATTCAGGCGCACTGCAGTGTGCATGGATACGCAATGACAGTTCCAAGGCTCCATTTCCAAAAACTGTACCAGACAATGGCGCACAGATATTTTGAAGTTAATCCAGGATAATGGGCCTTGTAAATCTATGAGCCAGATTGCCAGGAACCATATTCTGAGCATGCCCTGGAGGTGTGGAGTGTCATAGTGACCCAACAAAACCAGCTTTAGCATTTGCAGATGAAAGCAGGGATGACAAGTAGTGACTTGTATTACTCACGTCGGGACACTCCATTGTTGTTGGAATGAGACAAAACGCCAGTAACTGTTTATAATGACTCCAAAATGAAGTATTTGGTTACAATTATTATGATATTTGTCATTTTGCTGAATAGATACATTTATGATTTGTTGAATATTTTTCACATAATGAAAAGTGGTCACTGTCTCAAATGACAATTCAGGTCTATGCTATCCCCTCTGCCCCATGTGCCCCTATTATTCAAATATCTGTTGTTATTGATTGAGCTTGCAAATGTTAAATACAGGGATTTCATATATTAGGACTCTTTTGCTTTGATTTTGTCTGCTCCAGATCATGTGAACTCCTGCTGATTATGGGGGGCTGGTGAGGCTGGGATGAAATGTCGATATTTCAAAATGCTCTACAGTGACAGTGTCATTAGGCAGGTTCGTGTAACGTGTGGTCTAGAGATACAGAAGCCACAAAAACACCTTGTCTGGACCCTAAAGCGAGGTTGACCAGAGGGGCTGCCAGACTGCGATGGTGCTACAGGTCACGTGCAGCGGACAAACCCAGAGCAGGGAAGAGCAGATCATTGTGAGACGTGGGGATGGATGGTGTAGGGGTGTAGACTCACCCCTGCGGCGCCTCCTGCTGGTTGTCCTCGGGAATTAGCTCATCCCAGCTCTGGAGCACCCTCTGCAGGCCCGTGTCCCACTGCCACTTAGCCCCCATGTCCCTCCTGGACCCGGTGCCCTATTATCTGGGGTGCTGCCCTCTGGCAGTAACCCCTTTCTCTCAGGGTCTCCCCTCCCCAGGAAACCCCCACCCACTTCCCCACCTCACCTCGGTATAAGGCTACTGCCAGTCATCGTCTAGCCCCCACGCCCTGGGGCAGACTGCAGTATCAGCCACTCATCACTGGCAAGGGGGGTTTGGACCTGCTGCCTTTGCCTACCCCTGGGCTGCCCTCTGCAACCCCCAGTACCTGTTGGCCTTATGCTAGGCCGCAGCCTGGGGCTTTCCAGGCTGGAGCGCCCCAGCTCCTCTGCCTTTCCCCAGCCCTGCTCTACTCAGGTACTGTGCTCAGATCCCTGCAGCCAGGCCCATCTCCCTCTACAAACAGAGCGAGACTGTCTGAGCTCCTGGCTCCCAGCCTTTATAGGACCAGCTGGGCCCTGATTGGGCGTGGCCCCAGCTGAGCCTGCTTCCCACTCAGCCTGGGCTGTTCTCCCAGCCCTCTCCCCGGGCTGGTTTGAACCCTGTCGGGGCTGGAGCCGGTAGCCACCCCGCTACAATGAGCTGGTGTTCTCGGAGCTGGTTGCTGTTGAACCGTGGACCTGGTACACAGGATATCCTGGTCTGGGCAAATGTAGGGTTACCATACGTCCGGATTTTCCCGGACATGTCCGGCTTTTGGGGGCTCAAATCCCCGTCCGGGGGGAAATCCCCAAAAGCCGGGCATGTCCGGGAAAATCGGGAGGGAGGGAGGGCTCCGCCGGGGCCTCTTTGGCTGGGGTCGGCGGTGCGGGGCCGGGGTCATGGTGCCGGGCCGGGGTCCGGGCCGGGAGCCGGGGGACAGTCGTCCGGGGTCGCGGGGCCGGTCGG